GTCTGCGTAAACCTCCTTGCAGAAGGAATAACGGTAGTTCAGATTAGGAACTTGAATTCAAACTACCTAGTCCGTGCTGCGTGTAGCCGCGGGCAGGTGGTTCAAACTACAAAGCATTTAAAAATGGCGGCGCCCGGGAACATGCAAATGAAGTCTGGAATATTTAAATCCCAGGCTTCATTTGCAAGTTCGAATGCCTACATTAGCCACCTTTGAACTTTGTAGGGTGGCAGTGGAGACCTACCCCTATAAAGCAAGAGCATGTGAAGTAAGATGCATGTTGATTGCACACTATTTTGACTTACAAACAAGTGGTCCTGGAGCACCTTAAAGACCGCATCCCCCTTCTGTTCTGCCATGTGATTTGTCCTTTTCATATTTGTTCCTTTTTTTTAATTGTATCCTTTGGTATATATGGTTGTGACTACTTTCTTCCACTATTTGATCTGAGGAAGTGGGTCTGGCCCACGAAAGCTCATCATCTAATAAACCATCTTGTTAGTCTTTAAACTGCTATATTGTCCTGCATTTTGCTTCAACTACCCCAGACTAACACGGCTACATTTCTATCACTATTCTACATTAGCCACCCTAGTTCGAACTAGGGTGGCAGTGGAGACCTACCCCTATAAAGCAAGAGCATGTGAAGTAAGATGCATGTTGATTGCACACTATTTTGACTTACAAACAAGTGGTCCTGGAGCACCTTAAAGACGAATAATATTATATAGTATCATGAGCACAATCTTCTACTTCAGATGGGAGGAGTAAGAGGCACAGAATGGTACTGAAATCCCAACATTTAAAGCAGAAAAAGAGGGAAGATGGGGAGGAGAAAGGGGGGTTGGGGGGGAACCCTGTCAATTAGTGTCCATGCTAAATGATGGTAATAGAGTGGGCTGTTTGTCATTTGGGTGTCGAATATAATGGCCCATCTAGTTAGTGTCTTTGTTCAGTCCCTGCGTGAAGCTGTCAAATTTGCATATGAAGGCCAGTTCCACAGTTTCTGTAGTTGATTCCTGAAATTACTTTGCAAAAGAATGGTTACTTTTATATCCATTAATGAGTGCCCAGGCAGGTTAAAATGCTGCCCAACAGGCTTTGGTGTGTTACCATTTCAAGTATCTGATTTTTGTCCATTAATTCTTTGTTGTAGAAACTGTCCAGTTTGGCCAATATACATGGTAGTGCCGGCAATGTCCCTCTATCACATTAGAGGATGTGCAGTTGTATGAGCCTCTGATGTGGTGGCTTATGTGGCTAGGTCCTGTGATGATGTTGCTTGTATAGTGGTGTGGACAGAGTTGGCAATGGAGTTTATTGCTGGGGTAGGTTCCTGAGAGAGTGTTTGAGGCTGGAAAAAATGTGCTGCAGGTTAGGAGGTTTTCTATAGGCAAGGGTTGGCCTGTCTCCCAAGACTTGTGAAAGCGAGGGATCGTTTTCCAGGATAGGTTGTAGATTGTTAATGATGTACTGGCGGGGTTTAAGTTGGAGGGCTATAGGTGGTGACTGTTGGTGTTCTGTTCTGTTTTGTTGGGCCTGTCTTGAAATAGCTGATGCCTGGGTACTTGTCTGGCTCTGTCAATCTGTGTTTTCACTTCCCCAAGTGGGTATTTAAGTTAGCCTGGTTAAGATCCTGTTAGGTGTTTGTCTCTGTGGGATTAGAGCATATCTGGTTGTATCTACATTGATTGAGAGATGTGCTCCTCCTGCATCCAATCAAAGTGTGGCTATGTTCAATCAAAGCGCTGCCATGGTTCAGTCAGCCCACCCTGCAAATTCTAGGTATGCAAGCACTGTTAGCAAAACTACCCTATCCTGAGAGAGTCTTGGTTACAACAGTCTTGTGCCCACTTGCAAGTGTAGGTTGTCCATTGCTACTCTAACTACTAAATGCTTTGCCTTAGCATTTTATTAGAGCATAAGGCATGACTGGATCTGCTGAAGACTTAACTTTCTCTTCATTTCTATAAAGTGGGAGGGTGTCTTAATTTGGCATTCAGAGTCACGAAACCTGTCTTCCACTCCTTCATTTGCTTTCTTTGCTTTATATTCCTCCCAGAATTTAAAACACACTTGCACCAAAAATAGTGTCTAAATTACTTTTGGAGTCATCCCTGCTTCACTGGCAAGAGGGGTTTATAGTTATGTGACACACAAGCTCTGCAGCACTTCTAGTTTTGCTGGACTACAGAATAAGAACTTGTAAATAAACACCAGCCGTACTAATTTATCATGCAGGTAGCTAGTAGAACGTACACTAGTTTTAAAATACTGACCAAGGAAGTCAGCATTGTTACACTAAAAACAAAAAATCTAGGATAAGCAGACTAGACAACATATTGGATTAGTAGAGTGCCCTTCTTTCTTAAGGCTTGGGTTCAAATTTGTTTTGACTGCTCATTAATGATAAAGATTTGTTCATAGGTTATTTAGAGTAGGGATGTAAAATCTCCGTTAATCAGTTGACCAATTAAATGGGATCAGGCCAGGGGACCTTTCTAGCCCTGCTGGACAGACTCCAGCCTAGAGGGCTCCCGTCACCAGTTCTGAGCTGGGGCTGTCACTGGCTCCCAGTCCCCACCAAAGCAGTCCCTGTCCACAGCGGGTCAGGCTCCCCATGGACAGAGGCTGCTCCAGATGCTGGAGCAACCCCTGCCTGTGGGGTGCCCAGGCTCTCTGCAGGAGCAGCCCCTATCTTTGGGGCACCTAGCCCTGCCATGGGCAATGACTGCAGCCCCTATCTTTGGGGCACCTAGCCCTGCCACGGGCAATGACTGCTCCTGATGTTAGAGCAGCCCCTGTCTGTGGCAAGCTCCCTGCAGTGCTGGAACAGCCTCCTGCCCACAGCAGGTTGGGAGCTGCTCCAGTCCCTACCACTTATCTGTTAACTGGACCCAGTAATCACCCATTTAGCTGTCACGTCACTAATTTAGGCTATGTCTACACTCACGGCTTCTTGCGTAAGTAATATGCAAATGAGGCTAAGCGTGGCATATTGACGAGCCTTGTTTGCATACCTAATGAGCCACCATTTTTTTTTCAGAAGAGGTTCTTGCGCAAGGAGTGTCTGCACTGCCCCTTCTTGCACAGGAAAAACTCTTGCACAACGCTGTTACACCTATTACTTTTCATGAAGAACAGCGTTGCGCAAGAGGGTTTTTCTTGCGCAAGAAGGGGCAGTGTAGACGCTCCTTCTTGCACAAGAGCCTAGTCTAAAAAAAATGGTGGCTCATTAGGTATGCAAACAAGGCTCGTCAATATGCCACGCTTAGCCTCATTTGCATATTACTTATGCAAGAAGCCGTGAGTGTAGACATAGCCTTAGAGTGGAGCAGTAAGGATGCAGCAGGCAAGAACTAAGGTGCTTTGGAAGAATTATATGCAGAGGCCCAGAATTGGAATAGCAGGGGTTGCTGCATGTCAGAATGGAGGTGTACTGGCTAAGCTATGTAGAAAATCTTGACAGCACCTGGCTCTCTGCCCTCACTTCTGTGAAAACCAATATTAACCCACCAGATTTGTTCATAGGAGCACATTGTTCAAGATTTTAGTTGTAAATGTTCTCTTATTGTAAATGTTCTCTTATTGTGAACTATCTGGTGTGGGTTAATATTAATGGGTGTCTTGGTTAAGTTTCCAAACAAGTGTGTAAAGAAACTTGTGAGTCTGTGTGCTTGCATAAAATTTCCTGTAGAGCTGTCTGAAATGACAACCTGACATGCTGTAGATACAGGACTGTAACTTAATGGGAGCTAGAGGTGTAAACTAGAACAGGAAATAAATTGTACATTACTGCTACTCCACTGTCCCTCTCTTCCAGGCACACTAGGGAAAAAAAATTAAGCTTAAATTCTGTTGTTGACTTTTTTCAATTATTGAGCTTGTGTTAAATTAATCTATAAGAAATTAAGCTACTTTTAAGAACTATGCTTTTTTAAATTGCTTTTAAAATAAATGAATGCTGTGCTTCCCTGAAGGAATAGGGTGAGCTTTAATGTGAAATTAAAGGAACTGTCCCTTTAAGAGCAGTGATGCTCTCCCAGACTTGTGTTTTGGAATGTCAGCAGCAGTCTTGCAGACACGTTGCTGTTGCTGCTGCTGCTGTGTCGTGTCTCTCGGAGGGTTAACAACACTTCAGCTTGTTGTCTGGAACCGGTTCAGACTGGTTTTCTAGAAAGTGCTTTGTCTCTCCGACTGAATCCTGGGAAGGGTCATGTGGAGCCCAGTGATGTCATGGGATCAAAAACTGACTCAGCTTTTTTATCAGATGTGTGTCTGCAGGTACTGTGAAGTGGCAGACTGAAATGCCAAAGCTCGCCAAAAGCAAAAGTTTCTATGACTTTGGCATATAAGGAGTTAACTGTGATCCCATAGGAGTTAAGCACTTCCTGTGCAGCGAGTGGAAAAGCCTGGCTCATTCATTAAGAGGGAAGAAAATATCAACTTGAATATTACAATGGCAGTGTCTTAATCTCTAATAGCAAACTATAAGGAAATACGGAGGAGATTCTCTTCACTCAGGGCGTGGTAGTCCCCACAATGTCCAACTCCTGAAATTTGCAATCATATACAGGTGCTAAGACATTAATGGTTGAAATTCTCCAAAAACTAATCCCAGATTTTTTTTTTTAAGAGGACTTATTTGCATGTGAGGAAAAAGAAATGCTTCCCCTTTTTTTGATAGACATCCAAACTTTTTGTTTCAATTGCATGTCTGTATAATCTTCTGCATTTTGTTACATGATACTCCAAAATGTAAGCTCCAAAAAGCTATAGTTGTTTAAAACATCTAAAGTGCGTAAATCCATAGTAACTTCAAACTAAAATCTATCCTAAGGATAGGGTGAGTAAACTCACTCCCATACTTGTTGCTCTTTCACGATTTCTTCTCTTGCAGCAGCCACCCTATCTTGGCCTTGTTGAATAACAGTTGACTTTATTTTTCTCGATGTATTTTACTAATTTCTCTTTCTCCCCCCCTCCCCTTTTTTCTCCAGAGATTCACAATGACAGAGGAAGCATGCAGGACACGAAGTCAGAAGCGGGCACTAGAACGAGAAATAACTCAAAACGATGTGGACAGTAAAAAAATTAAAATGGAGAAAGGATTGTTGGGAACAGATATAAAGACTGAAGGTGACATTAAAATAAAGACTGACCCTGGAGCTGGAAAAGTCCAAGGATTATTAAAAGGAGGGGAGGTAAAAGCAACCATTAAAGTGGAGGTGCAGACAAGTGATGAACCTGTTGACATGAGTACCTCAAAAAGGTGAGTGGCTACCTAGAAACTGCTGTCTAACTTCAGTATCACTCGGAAGAGATCTCTGGGCTTTATAGTCTATGGAATGACTGCAAGAGTAAGTACTACTCAACCTCTGAATCGGGTTGATTTGTGTTTCCATTTAGCATTCCTCTCATTACCAACCATGGTGACTTTTTTTGAGGCTCTACTCATGAGCATTGCCATTGTCAGGTGCTGTAAAAGGTGAATACTGAATGGGGGAATATGACCTTGAGTGAAGGAATGGATGCAAACCATGAATGGAGTGCTGACTCCTTATGCCTATGTATGAAGGGCTTCTTGTGCTCACAATCATGTGGATGATGTAGGTAAACTATCCCTTATCTTTGTGACTATAAAAAAATGGAAGTTGTTTAGATGCATCTTACTGCCATGTCTTCAGACCTATTATGAGAAAAAGCTGATGAAAAAGTTACTAATTAGGGCTATCGATTAATTGCTGTTGATGCAATTAACTCAAATTGTGATTAATTGCACTGTTAATAGAATACAAATTGAAATTGAATATTTTGGATTTTCTACATTTTCAAATTATCAGTTTCTAGTACATCAAGTACCAAAGGTACACTGCTCACTTTATATTTGTTTGACCTATATTTGCACTGTAAAAATTACAAAAGAAATAGTATTTTTCATTTTACCTCATACAAGCACTATAGTGCATTATCTGTATTGTGAAAGTATAACTTACAAATGTAGCTTTTTGTTTTTGTTCTGGAGTGGAGTGTTATAGTTTTACTTTGTTATATAGCCTACACATCCACTCTGTCCTACTTCTTGTTCAGCCAATTACTAAAACACAAGTTTTGTTTACATTTACAGAAGATACATTTACAGGAGATACTGCTGTGTGCTTCTTATTTACTGTGTCCTTTGAGAGTGAGAACAGGTGTTTGCATGGCACTTTTGTAGCCGGCATTGCAAGGTATTTGTGTGCCAGATATGCTAAACGTTTATATACCCTTTCGTGTTTCGGCCATCATTCCATGTTTCGGCCATCGTTCCAGAGGACATGCTTCCATGCTGCTGATGCTCGTTTAAAAACAAAAGTGTTAATTCAATTTTGTGACCATTCTCCCAAGGAGTTCAGTATGTCTCCTATTTTGCCTGCATTCTGCCATATATTTCATGTTCTAGCAGTCTCAGATGATGAGCCAGGACATGTTTGTTTTAAGAACACTTTTTTTTATCTTCTATCAAACCTGCTATGCAGGTACCAATGTGAGATTTCTAAAGATAGTGACAGAACTTGACCCACGGTTTTAAGAAAGTGCTATCCAAAATCTGAGTGGGACGAGGTATGGAGCATGCTTTCAGAAGTCTTAAAAGCAACACTCCAATGCCAGAACTACAGAACCTGAACCACCATCAATAAAGAAAATCCAACCTGGGTGGCATCTGACTCAAATGATGAAAATGAATGTGCATCAGTCTGCTCTGCTTTGGATCATTATTAATCAAAACATGTCATCACCATGGACACCTGTCTTTTGGAATGGCTATTGAAGCATGTAAAAGGGATATGAATCTTTAGCGCACCTGGCTTTAAGTATCTTGTGATGCTGGCTACAGCAATGATGTGTACACCTGCTTTCACTTTCAGGTGAAGTTGAAAAATAAGAAGTGGGCAGCATTGTAACCAAACTTGTTTGTTTGTCTGAGCAATTGGCAGAGCAAAAAGTAGGACTAAGTGGACTTGTAGGCTCTGAAGTTTTACATTGTTTTATCTTTAATGCAGTTTTTGTACATAATTCTGCATTTGTAAGTTATTGCACTACAGTACTTGCATTTCAATTCACCCAATGCTATTTCTTTTGGGGGGGTTTTACAATGCAAATATTTGTCATCCAAAGTAAATGTTCAGTGCTCACTTTATTTTTTGTTTTGTAATTGAAATCAATATATTTGAAGAAAACATCCAAAAATATTTAAATGGTGGCGGTGTTTAGCAATAAGATTAATTGCTGTTGGATTTTTTTTTTTTTAAAGTCCCGTGCTAGCCCTACTACTAATGGTTTTGGGTGCCTTTTTTTAAGAAACTGATCTGAGTCCTTTAAAGCTCACAGGTTTTGCAAAAGGTAAGTGTGTGGCACTTTTCGAAAACAGGCCCCTTTAATGTAATTCTTCACACATCCTATGAAATAAGAATTAAATTAGGTATTCACTCTATTCTGTATGCTGTCTGTCTTGGGTTCATTATGTGCCAAAACTTTTCCGGAAAGGGGTGCCAATGTAGACACAGCCCAATAGTATTCATTTTTTAGGGTGAAATGTGGTCTAGTTTTTGGTGACTAGAATGACTCCTGTGCCTAGCACTGCTGCTGACAGGGAAACTAAACACAAACATAGTCAGCTATCTGAAAAAGGGAGTTAAATTATAATATATTCCTTTCGTGAAAGGTGCTCTAGAAGTACCAATTATTAACTTGTTTCACATGTTGGAACAGAAACTTGAAATTCCTGTTCAAATTCTAGTGGGGCACAAAATACTACAGGAAAAAATGATATGCCAGTACTCCATAATTGTGACTAGTCTATGAATTATTCAGGTGTCCTCTGCTCCTGATGTTTAAGTGAGAAACTATCTGCTGCTTACAACAATGTATTTGTCCAAATTTTACTTTTTAAGCACTGTCCCAAATACTAGTTTTGGTCTAGTAGCTTGCATTGACTGAGATTCTTTGACATGTTCTGCTTTGTCCATAAACTCACAAGTAAAGGGGGCATCTTCAGGGCTTGCTCAAGGTGATACTTAGGCTATACTTGTATGTCTGATTGAAAGTCATGCTCAAGGTGATACTTAGGCTATACTTGTTGACTTTCAATCAGACATACAACACAACTTCATACACTATGGCTATGTCTACATTGGCAAGATTTTATGCAAAAGCGGATGTTTTTGCGCAAAATCTTGCCACCTGTCTACACAGGCCATGAGTACTTGCGCAAAAACACTGATGTTCTAATGTATAAAATCAGTGCTGCTTGCGCAAATACTCTGACGCTCCTGCTCAGGGATAAGTCCTCTTGCGCAAGAGGCCAGTGTAGACAGGCAACATCAATTTCTTGCGCAAGAAAGCCCGATGTTTAAAATGGCCATCGGAGCTTTCTTGCGCAAGAGAGTGTCTACGCTGGCACAGATGCTTTTGCGCAAAAGCACATGCCAGTGTAGACACTCTCTTGAGCAAATACTTTTAATGCAAAGACTCTTGCATTAAAAGTATTTGCGCAAAATCATGCCAGTGTAGACATAGCCTATCCTTTAGGAAGAGGGTACTAGTCAGATGGCTTCCCTGTAAGGGAATTTCTTCTGTTTCTCAAAGAATGAGAAGAGGTGGCTGTGCCAAGTGCTAAAAATGGTAAACATTTTCAGAAAGTAGTGACACATTTGTTGCATTATCCCTACCTGCTCACTAGCATAGTATGTGTTCAGTTCTCTTAAAGGGGTAAGCACAGACTAGTGGTTTAACCACAAGGCTATAAATTGGAAAGTGTGAGTTCTGTTCTTGGCTCTGTAACTGTGTAAATCTAGGCAAATCACTTTAAAGCCACAAAAAATTGTCCTTTTATAAATACACTTTCCAATATTTTGTAAATGTCTTTGTTCCCCCTTTGATGTGGAAAAATCTGTACAAACTAGACTAAGGGGAAGACTCTATGTTCAGCTTCTGAGAGAGCTTCTGTTACTTAATTATATACATAAAAACCCTACTTAAATAAACGGAGACATTTCCCCCATTATATAGTATATTTACCACCGTAAATGGCAGTAGGATTTTTGCTTCTGTTTTCTGAATGTGAGGGAAGGTTTCCTGTATAAGAATGTCTGGCTGTGTTGGAGCCATAATCTAAAACCCACTGAGGTTTTGATGAGAGTTTTTCCCACTGAAGTCAACTGATTTTTAAATCTGGTCCTAGATGACCAAGTTACAGATAACACAGGTTATGATGTATATTGTTTTGACTCTGCTCTTTAAGTGGAGGAGCAAAATATTGGAGCTTCTTACCTACAGAAGATGAATCTGAATGATTCTGAAGATTTTTACAACTAGCGTTCCTGCTACATATTCCCCTCTATCCAAAATAGATGATCGTTTTTTAATCTTTCAAGATGTGATGTAGAGCATGTAGGTAACAATCAAGACCATACCTGGGCGTGCACAGAATCTTTACACCTTGGCAGGTCCAACAGCTGATCTGAAAATGCATGATTTCAGTGCATATGTTTTGATCCCTTGCCTATTCTTTAAAGTCATTTTTGTAAGTAACTGTATGGTACTTTGGTGAAAGATTCTTAAAGTTTCAAATCAGGACTCTTAATTTGGGGCTCAACTTTCCATAATTTTTCCTATAATTCCAATTGTGTACACGTGCCCATAATACAGCTTCTATAAGATTTGCATCCCTTCAAATATTTGCGTTTTGAGAGGAGGTTAAATGAACTATTTCTTAAAGTGATTGTTTTGCTGCACTGTCAAAAACTTTCTGCTTTGGTAAATTCACACTTAGAAGCTCAAACACTGTATTTTACAAAGTAAGCTTTGGAAGTTATTTAACTGAAGATGTATTTTTTTCCCCAGGATCTTTAGTTTTACCTGACCAGTAGCAGATTGATTGATTTTCAGAAAGAATGAATGGATAATCTATTGGCTTTTAAGATTTGAAATCAGAACGTGAAGACACCACTGAATTAAAATTTTAAAAGTATTTTTACTCGAATCTTAATCATTTTATTTATTTAGTAGCATGTTTGCCCTGCATTACTTGGGTCCTTAACTTAATGAAGTTTGGTGGGGTATTTTTTTGTTCTGCTCTTTTTTGGGGCGGGCGGGGATAAAAAAAGGAAAATGTACATGCTTTATTTAAATTATTGTATTTTTGAAGTACAATGTTTTTATTTTTTGAATTTCTTAAAAGGATTGTTAAACTGGTCTATTTTTAGTACTTTTTTTTTTAAATAGGAATTC